TGCTACTGACTGGCTAGGCAGCCCTAGCTGCTCGAGCCCCGCTCTCCTCAGACCAGTTAGCCTACCTAGACTTTAGTTTCTTCTGTGGAATTAGAATCATGGTCACAGCCTTTCTTTCTGAGTTGATAGTTCACATGAGCCAGACTCCTAGGATGCTCTGATTGACAGCAAGCTGGCCTCAGCAACATTCCTGTGGAATGTCTTCGGGCTTTGCTATGCTAACAAGCATGGCGATGGTCCAGGCCGGGAAGGCAGGGCCTTTAAGGTGCCATCTTATTGTACTCATGGAAGTAATTTTAATCCGGGATTCCAGAACTAGGCTCTCCCCCTCCCCCCACCCCACACACCTCATCCCACCCCTGGAAGAACTGATAACCAAAGATGACATGAGCTGCCCAGGGTCACACACAAATGCACAGCTGTAGTGCTGGGACTGGAGTCAAGGGCTCCTGACACATTCTGGAGTTCTTGCTGGTGCATCATTGCTTTGACCTAAAGAACGGCAGTGATGTAACAGCTACGATGTACCCAGAGTTTGCTCAGTGCCAGCCTAGCCAGCCTCTGTGCTGGGCTCCTCAGATTCGTCACCACTTAACGGGTGACAGTTCTACTGTCAAATCCAGCGTGTTGAGCTCGGAGAGGGCAGGTAAAGCATTCTTCATCTCACAGGGGCAGGACTTACACCGGGGCTGCCCGGCTTCACTTCATACATGTCAAGCACCATGAATGTCCTTCGGCAGAACCCAAGACCTGAGCTGGGACCCTGGCCCCCACTCTACCTTGCTCAGTGTGGCCAGGCTTGGGTTCCTGCTCCCTAGTACCAGCACTTGTATGGCCTGGGGACAGGCCATTCAGCACCAGCCACTTTTGTTAAGTGGTTTTGGCCAGAACTAGGCTGCTCCAGGCTGGGAGCCTCTGTTGTCAGCCAGCAGTCAGGATGAGCCCTTGACAAGCTCCCTGCAGGCTCCCTGGGACGTCAAGATGTCACTGTCATTCCACCGAAAGACTCCTTTGTCTGTGGCCCACGCGTCCTCTGCCCCAAGCACCACTCACTCTCTTTGGCATGAAGAGCCCTCTGTTTTAGGGGTGGAGGCGTCCAGTAGGGTCCAGGACCCTCCCGGCCAGCTGACTCTTGCTTTCCACTGCATCACCTTTCTGAGGTCATCCTGACAGGGACTGCACACAGGCCCGCCCTGGTGATGGCTTCCCTTGGTTCGGCCTAACTCGATCCTTAAAGCCCGCCCTGGGAACCTCTGCCCGCCCCCCAACGAGCCCTTTCTGTCCATGCCTGGCCCCTCACCTCTTTCCTTTTTGTCTCCTGCTTTCCTCTCTGTCTGTCCCTTGCTCATATTTTTTTTCCTTCCACCCTTCCTTGGGGAGAACACAGAATGTGCCCCGTATGTTAGGTGAGGACCAGATGGCCTTTGGGGACCGCATTCACCCACCTTTGGCATTTTGAGCACTTGGATCCTGCCACTTTCTCCTTTTACATCTCCTTCCTCACAGCAGCTTCTATGTCCCCATTATAAGCAGAGGCAATGTGCCCCCTCAAGGGTATGTCCTGCCTTCCTCTTCCAGTGCCACACATACGCACACTGAAAAGCCCTCCTGTTGTCAGGTGGCTGGAGAAATTGGCATCGGAGACAATGCCCAGCAGAGCTCTTGTTCATTGCTGTTCGTTTGACTTCTTTGCAGCTTCCTGGTTGTTGGTGGGGAGGTTGGAGACCTTTGTAAAGCCACAGGCTCTAGGGAAAACTGGCTGGGAGTTAAAGGAAGAGTTGCAAAATGCTCTCATTTGCTGAGGTCTGCTCTTGTCAAATCTTGTCCCATCTTGCCTGGGTGTGGATTTGGCATGAAGAAGTGCCTCTTGGTTGGATACCTAATGCTGGGTAATAGAGTTGGGTTGTCTGACCAGCTCAGAAAGTTAAACTGTGCAACTCAGTTGTGGCCGCACAAGGCCCAGGGTGCTTTCTTGGGCCTCCCTCTCTGTCTTTGGGTATCAGCTTCTAGACATCAAGCTCTATTGTTTGCTCACTTTTCACTCATCTGTTCTTTCATTCAGATATAAACTGAATTTCTGCCCTGAGTTGCCATCAACAGAATGGACTAAAGTCCCTGTGTGCACAAGGCTTATATTCAATGTCTTTCCAGGCCCCTCGAGTGGCCAGGGTGATGTTCACCATGGATCTTCCTCATCGTCATGTGGGGGTGGGGCCATCCTGAGGATTTCCAAGGGACCACTCGGAACTGATCACTGGACTGCAGGGGCCTGGATGGAGCCTCTGAAGTAGGTCCTGGTGTGGAGTTCAGGGACATCGTAGCTCCCCCCTTTTCTCCTGGCTCTAGCCCTCTGTTTCTTTGGCCTTGACCCTCTGCCCTACTTTGACTGTGTCCTGTCTGATCCAAGAGTCTCTCCTTATTCCAGTATTTCTCCCATAAATGAGGGCGGGGCCCTGCCTTCCTCCCCACCTCTTAGTTGGGACCAGGCCTAGACCCCCATGTGTCCTTGGCTAGAGAGGGTGAACGCTGATCTATTCTTATTCTCGTTCTCCCTTCAGCGGGAGACTCCAACTCTGGACAACAGTCCTCTCGGCCCGTTAATCGTCATAGGAGTCCTTCTCTCCATCCTTCAGCCTTCCAGTACTTTCGTCTACAAGGACTTTACTCTGACAAGTCCTGTCCAGCCCCTCCCAGTTTCCTTGCCCCCTGCAATTGAACTGTTCTACCTTCATGCAGCTTCCACAGCCACCACACGTGAGCAACCCCACCTCAGAGTTTAGCTTCTGGGCCCTTCCTGCCATCTCATTTCCATTGTTGTAGGTCCTGTCTGACTCTGTCACAGCACATATTTGTCCTCTGTTGCGTTTCTCAATTTGCCACTAAGAACCAGCCCTGCAGTCAGTGTCTAGGAAACACAACTGTGCAGTCCAGGTGTGGCTAGGGAAAGGTGAGGCTTGTAGGGTGAGCGCTCTCCTGATAGGTTAAGGATCTGGACTGTTCTGTCGGTTGGTGAGGGCGAACCCCACCTTGTTAGGTTAAGGGCCTCAGACTTAGTTTTTTAGTAGGATGAGATTCCTTCAGGGCTTCTGAGGAATGACCAGCCCTGCCGCCCTGAAACCTGAACTCAGTGCTCATTGCTTATTGCTTGGTTAACTTCTGCTTCTTTAATTGACCGTTTGTTTGCACAGCGTATTAATTACTTTCCCGTTGCTGTGAAAAAAACACCATGATCAAGTCAGCTTACAGAAGGCAGGGTTTATTGGCCTTACAGTTCCAGAGAGTCCACCACGGCGGTCAGCAGGAGGCACAGTGGCTGGAGTGGCAAGCCGAGAGCTCACATCCTTAACCACATGTTGTAGTAATTAGTAAAATATGAGTGTTGGTCTATCTGATTTATCATTAGCCCTAAGAGTATCACAGCGGTATTATCTAACCTGCTATCACAAATAATAAGACACAGATACCGATTAGATTTTATAATTGCCTTATTTACCTTGGGCTGGGCAGATATTCTTACCTACTCTCTGAGTCACCTCACCATCCATCTTCCAGCCCCCATCCAATGCCATCCTCCTTAACCACTCTATCTTCCATCCATAATCTTATAAATACTTGCCTTTATTCCTTATCCAGGCCTTTACATGACATCATTGGAGTCCTTTCTCCAGTCCCATGTGGTTTTTTTTCTCCACACTAACCCATGGTGGTGGCCTCCTTCTTCCTCTCTTCCTGTCTGTCCCCTGATTCTCGTGATTCTTCCTGCTTCCTTGTCCTCCAAAGCCCAGGAACCTGGCCACGCCTACCCCATTCTGCCCTGCTCAGGTATAGGCCATTTAATGAACCGGTCAGGTTTTAGGCATTTTACACAAACCAGGATGGGTGTATCTGGCTCAGTAACCAGATCTTGAGTGCCAATAATTAGCATTAGACCAACCTCCAGCAACCAAGGCAGGAAGAGAGAGTAAACTGGTCCTGGCTCCCAGTGATGCAAGACCATACTTCCCAAGCCTCTTCAAACAAAACCACCAAAAACGGACCATGTATTCAATGCCAGATGCAACAGGGACATCCTCATTCAAGCCGCCACACATAGTTACTGAAATTGTTGGCCAGAGGGTTGGCTGATCCTTAGTTGTCTAGCAGATTGGTTGGCTTGGTGTGTGTGTGTGCGTGTGTGTGTGTGTGTGTTGTGAGCATTTGGATGAGTGTGTGTGCATGTTAAAACAGGGACTCTTTGTTCTTTTTGTATGAACCAGGCTAGCTCATCCAGGAGCTCTCGGGGACTGTCCTGTCTCTGCCTGCCACTAGACGTAGGATAGCTGGGATTGCAGAAATGTGCATATCCAGCTTCATGGGGGTCCCGGGGATCCGAACTCAGTGCTCACACCAGCATGGCAGACACTTGGGTGTCGTTAGGTTACCCTGGCCGGCCCCAGACTTGGGCGATCCTCCTGCTTCTGCCTCCTGAGTGTTGGAACTGCAGACAGGCACCACCACCCCTTGATGGTAGTTGATGTTGTTGGTTTTCATTTATTGGGTTTTGCTTCCTTGTTAGTTGTTTCTTTTTTTGTTTTTGACAAAATCTCATTAGTTAAGGTTGACCAGAAAGTATAGAACCAAGATTACTCTGTACTTCTGACCCTCCTGCCTTTACTTTTCAAATGCTGGAAGTTTGAACACCAGGATCAGGTTCTGAATATCTGAGGACAGAGCCCAGGGCTACTAGCATGCTGGACAAACCATTCTACTGACTGAACATGCCCGGCCCCAAGATACTTTTGTAGTTGTTGGTGGGTTTTGTTTGTTTGTTTGTTTTTGTTTTAAATGGATGAATGGGTTGATAGATGGATTATTTTCTTTCTCTTTCAGTTCCCTGTTGCCTGGCTGGTTGACTGTGTCTCCCATGGCGTAGTACTTGAGGACCACCCCCTCCCCCAGGGGCTGAGCTGATGCTGTCTGGGTCCTCATACCTAATGACCTCATCTCCTTGTCTTTCACAGGCACTTGTCCGGCTGCCTCCCCACATTTCACAGTGTGATGAAGTCTTTCGGTTCTTTGAGGCACGGCCTGAGGATATCAACCCCCCAAAAGAGTGAGTAGTGGCTTCCATCTCTTCTGCATGACTGGCAAGTATGGGCCGCATCAGAGGCCTGTGGGGAGGCTGAGGACGTGGGCACCTAGGAGAGGAGACCTAGCAATGCTAACCAGCTGAGGATGCAGCTAGGCAATAGTCACCATTCCCAGTGCTCCTGCTGCAGAAGGCTGCTGTAGGTAGCTTCCTAGAAAGGTCCCCCTATCATCAGCAGGCATATGAGCCATAATTTATATAGCTTTTAAAGTCAGGGAACAGCCAAAGCTCCTTATTTTTTTGCTGCAGTGAACATATTTGCATAATACACCACACACACACACACACACACACACACACACACACACACACACACATTCTTTCTCTCTCTCTCTCTCTATATATATATATATACACACACACACATCATTAAACATACATGCATACATAATTAAATTACTTTAAAAGAAGTAAAAGCTGGTCATGGTAGTGCATGCCTTTAATCCCAACTCTCAGGAGGCAGAGGCAGGCAGATCTCTGTGAGTTCGAGGCCAGCCTGGCCTACATAAGTGAGACTGTGCCCCAAAGGGGACAGAAGGGTTGTACCTAGGTAAAATAGGTTCTCACTGCATATGATGGGCAGGCAAGCAGGCTGCAACCATATCTCCAGGTTTCCAATAAGCCTTTTGAAACTTTGCGCCTCTCCCTTTGCCTCCCATCTGGGAACGTGTGGTCCACTTCAGTCCTCTCTCTCCTCCCGACCCTGCTCCTCTGCTACGTCTTGGCTCTCCAGGGTAACCGTGGCTCTGGGTCACAACCTGGTATTGCTTGTTCCCAGCTGTGATGGCCTTTCCCTCTCCTTCCATAGTGCTGGGGAGAACCCTGCTACTCCTGGCGGTGGAGCCCCGGGATCGGGTGCTTAAAGGGAAAGAGGGGAGTATTAATGGTTGAAAGCACCTTTATTTCAGCCTCTGTTCTTTGCCAGTCAGCTAAATAAACGGGACCCATTTCACAGGTGGTCCAGTGAGCTGATGGTGTCCAATAGACTAGCCTTGTGCCCACCTCCAGAAGGCCCTTCCCAGGAATGGTAGCACCCACACAACAGCCCAGGGAATGCGGGTGACTGTTCTGTGTCATGCTCTAAGTCAGTCATTGTCACCTAAGGCTCTTTGACCATTCGTGCAACTTCTAGAACCCTATTTTCCTGTCTCTAGTGCAAACTGATACTAGATGCATGGTGGTGGGCGAGAGGCCCCCGGAGAAAACCCAGTCAGTGTACAGTGGCACATAGTCAGTGCTCACACGGTTGTCTGCAAAAGCCTGGACACAGAACAGGCCGGGACTCAGGGCACACTCGGCCATGCAGGGCACAGCACGGCAGGGACAGGGTGAAAAGCATTTGGCCTTTTATGTTACCATGGAGACGGGAGCTAGCTGCCTCTTTCTTGAGGTAGTACCGGATGACCTGTGGCTCAAATGTGGCAGGTGTGAGATGAGAGTTCAAAAGGGGTTGGTCGTCTAGCCCTGGCTCATCTCTGCACTGCCTCTGGGCCCCTCCTCCTTCCCTTCCTTCCTCATTCCCTCCCTCTCTCCCTCCCAGGGAGAGACTTGTGCCCCACTGTGAAGAAGGCCCAGGCGCCCTGTGACCCTGGGCCGACCGCCTGACGATATATTAGCCAAGCGCCTGCCCCTCCCTCTAAGGGCTGCTTACCTTTCTTGGCCACTGTTCATGTCCCAGCCCCCCATCCAGAAACATAAATATGGATCAGGTAACAGAGCATTTTGACTTGTGTCGACTCTGAGGAGAGTTATCAAATTATCAAAGCCAGTGCATTGCATTGGGATTTTGCAGACAACCTGGCCTCTCTCAAACGCACTGCTGTGGCGCGTCTTTGGTTTCCTGCCACCGGGCACCAGGGCCACCTGTGCTATCTTATAGGCAAGACAAAGTGTGGACAGTCCAGTCTTGGGGAAATGTGCAGTAGCTCTGGGCTTTGATCCTCTCACAGGCCACCGTGGTGGCTGTCTACTGCTCTATACAACCAGTGGCCTGGCACAGAAAGGATCCTTTTCTAGCCCCCTTTGATAGGCTTGGCACAGAGCAGGCATGGTGTTCGTTCTCCTGCAGACATTCCAGAAAGGCTGCCCCTCTGACTTTGAACACACGTGTGCATTTCTACACTGGAGAAAACAGAATGCTCTTTCTAAGGCCCCTGACCTGTGCCTCAGCTCCAGGCATTCTTGTAGATCAGACTCTTTGCATCAGCTCACCATCTAGCCCCTCAGCAAATCCCGCAGGTGCTTCCTTTAGCCTACCTCCCAGTCTGAGTCCAGCCATCTCTTTGCATGCCCTGGGGCCAGCCCATCACCATGCCTTCTGTGGCCTCCTGTTTGGTCTCTCCTGTGATCCTGTCACTCCCAGGTCAATCTTCCTGTCATTTAGGGCCCTCGCTGTCACCTCCCTCTGATAGCACCTATCCTTCATCCTCTTTCAGCTCTGCTCAAATCTGCTGGCCATCCACACTTGGGGCCTTTGTTCTGCTGCTTCAGGGCGCGGGACACAAAAGCAGCCCCCAAGAGAACCCCTCACACCTCTTTCTCCATCAGGACAGCCTTCCGTCTTTCTTTAAACCTTCTAGCACCCCCACTGCTTCCTGTTTGCAATGCCACTTGCGTCCTGCTAACTGGCTCCTGTCAGGCAGTGAGTGGCCTCTGTATCAGAAACTGTATCACGGTAGTCACAGTAGTTTTAAGTAGCCAAAGATGAGAATACTTCCTGCTAGATAGACATCCATCTTTATTCGATATCAAACTCTCTGGGCTTGCTCGATCCTCCCCCTAATGCTTTTTTTTTATTTTAATTTTTTATATTAATTACAGTTTATTTACTTTGTGTCCCAGCTGTAGCCCCCTCCCTCATTTCCTCCCAGTCCCACCCTCCCTCTCTCATCTCCTCCCTGCCCCTCTCTAGGTCCACTGATAGGAGTGGTCCTCCTCCCCTTCCATCTGACCTTAGCTTACCAGGTCTCTTCTCCCCCCAGTGTTTTATTTGTTTTTATCTGATGTGTTCTGATAGTTTTACCTTCATGCATGTCCCTGGAAACTGGAGTTACAGACATTTGTGAGCTGCCATGGGGGTGCTGGGAATTGAATCTGGGTCCTCTGGAAGAGCATGTTAAGGTCAACATGCTTTACCCCTGAGCCATCACCCCAGCTTTCTCTCTGGGCTCTCTTAGAAGACTTTGCTCCCATCCGTGGCGGCTGCCTCTCGTGTCTTAGTCACCTCCTAAGGCCTCACCAAGCAATACTGTCCTATTGGATTCAACTAACATCCTATCTGTAGCTGTGTTCTTGGAGCGCTAGCATATAAAAAAGTGTGTGTGTTTGTGTGTGCGTGCATGAATGCATGTGTGTGTGTGTGTGTGTGTGTGTGTGTGTGTGTGTGTGTGAACATCCTGAGAAGAGAGGAGCGAGGCAGAGAGAGAAGAGTGGCGCCTTACTGGCCTTGCCCTGTGAACTCCACGAAATATGTCATTTACATCTCAGGCTGCCTGAGGAAGATCTTTCAACCTAGTTAGCAAATGGTGAATCCAAAGCCGGAGACCACACAACCAAGAAGCTGGCAGTCGAGTCTTACAGCGCACATTCGCTGGGGAGTGCGGGCCTCCCTCAGACCTCTCTTCCCTAGGCCCAGCCCCTTGTCTTACAGTCACAGGGGTTGGTGGGCTTCTTTGTCTGTCTGTGTGGGCTCTGGGGGAGCTGTGCGGCACAGGGGGTGGGGACAGAGGGACTTACAGTCAAGAGCCATCCTTGGAACTGGCATGTAGCTCAGTGCTTGGGAAGCATGCAGGAAGCTATGCTGCATCCGACTGTACATTGCCAGCTAGAGTGTGAGTTCAAGGGCAGCCTGGGCTATGAGAGACCTGTCTCCAGAGGAAGAGGAAGAAGGAGAGGGAGAAGAAGGTGGCCCAGTGGGTGAAGGCGCTCGCCCTCCCACCTGGTGGCTGAGTTCAGTCTGGGCACCGTGTGATGGAGGGCAAGAAGTAGGCTCCACATACGCACTGTGGCACGTTGTCTGCACACACGCCCACACACAAATAAATAAGATTTAAATTTTTAAAAAATGTGAAACTCTAAAACCCACACTTAAAACTAGAGGGAATTCAGTTCAGGCATCCCCTGGGGATGCTGAGTTTATTCTGACAACCTAGAGGAACCTGGGCAAGTGTGGGGTACATGACCTGTGCCCCATCCCATCGCCCACAAATATGGCCGCTCGTCCGGTTCAGTCCTGGAGGGCCACTCACACTGGCTCAGCTCTCCGTGGCTTCTGCAGGGACCCCTCAGGCAGTGAGCCATGGTCTCCAGTTTATTCCTCCCTGTCCAACCTGCCAGGGCCTTAATTGAAATTCTTGAAATTTCATGGGACAGGCAGAGCCCTGCTAAACCAGTTTTTGTTCTTCAGCCTCAGGGCCTCAGAGCCCTCTGTTGAGACACAGAACAATGTCCCAATGTTCAGAGAGACTTGAGGTGGGAGGTGGTGGGGCCTGGGCAGATCAGAACCAGCTCGCCCCAGCCTGCCTCAAGGGCCAGCTTCTTTCTGACTCGGGGGCCTTAGTGTTGCTAGAAAGTCCCTACCCCAAGCCACTTTGCTCCCCACAAGGCCAAGTTCCCCCCCCCAGCATCCTAATCCCAGCACCCTTGGCATTGGCATGCACTTAGCATCCCCATGGCTCAGGACCCAGGAGCAGGCGTGCAGCGAGGCTTCCTTGGGCTGCAGTCCAGTTGAACGAGAGCCCTGGCTGTGGGGACAGGGGCAGGCTGGCTCAGGGGTAAGTTGGCATACCTGGGAAACAGGAACAATCTTTTCCCGGGAAGGGGGTGGTGCAGCAGGTGGGGTGAGGAAGGGTGAGGTCACATGCAGAGACTCATAGCAGACGGGTCCAGCTTCCTCCCATTTCCTTCCTGGAGATGGTGGCTTATCCAGGACCAGCTGATAAAACTAACTAGTCCCCGAGAAGATG